TGTATGTTTCTAAACTATAGAGGGGATAATAACATTACCCAAAGGAACAATACAAAGGCAACTCTTCAAGGAGAGACAAAGACACAGGGAACCATAGTGGCTGGTGGAAAAAATGGTTGGTGAAGCTGGTAGAAAGGAGGAGGATAGTGAATTAGATGACTCAATGCAAAGATAGGCAGTTGAAGAAGCTGAGTTTAATGTGCGTTGCACTGAGTAAAGAAGTGACGGTTTTGTGACACACTGGCAACTGAAGAAGGACAGTCTGAAGGTAAAGGCGACCTCAGGACATTATATCAGATGACCAGGTCCCTCTCCAGGGGAAGGTCAACCCGGATGATGAAACCTATAAAAGATGTCCTGAGGGACATTATTACAGGGGAGGAGAAACAAATAAAAGGAATGGGCCGACCATCTTTAAAGATTATTGAATTGACCGTCACCTGCAGCTCGGCCAGAAATACCATCAATAGCATGCATAGAACTTCTAGTGGGCACCCGTTCACGATCCAAAGCGGAAATCTTGAGTGCGACCAAGCTACTGGCGTTTGGGAAGACAGTAAGACCTGATGGAACACCCCTAGCCAGAATCACTGAAAACGGACCCAAAAACCGTGGTAGATTTGCTCACGCCGTGACCACACAATGTTTGGAAGGAAGGAAAAGTGCCTACCGATTAGCAGAAAGCTTACCTTGTTGAGCTACCAAAGAGGAGCTAGTTAGGCCTCTGCGAGAAACGGGGCGTAATCATACCTTTTTTTCCACACCAAGTGGAATACTAAGTCGTGTCAAGCTGGGGAGAATAAAAGACGTGCTGGATGCAGAACTCAGTCTCCAATAGAACAGAATAGGTTCACGAAAGGTGAAGCATCTGCCGATCAAAATGCAATTCCTCGCACTATCATTGAACAAAGAATAGAGTGGCAGTCAAACGTCTACCTTAGCTTCATCGTTTTTGAAAAGGCCTTCGACAGACACGTCGACCGAGAGGTATTTCGAAAATAGTGCTGGCAACACAATGTGTGGTGCTCAAATCTTTATTAACCTCATTCGACATTTGGCCACATGACAGTGTCACGTGTCAGGTGATCCCTGACGGAGCACTCAGCAAGGCGTTCTAAGTGAACGCAGGGGTAAGACAAGGCTGCTTGTCTATTATCACTGATGATATATCCGATTGCGGCGAACTGGATTATGCGTCAGACTGTGAGTTGGATGTGAGACAGGAATACGTTTGACCACAAATAGGAAGATTCTAGAAGATCTGGGCTTCGCTTGTGGATGATTTATCTTTAATGTCACAAAAACTCGAAGACTTGCAAGTGAATAGTGGCAAACCGACTTAAAGGGTGAGTAGTGGCGAAAGGATCCCATGTGAACACAAAGAAGATGGAGGTCATGAAGATAGCCAGCCATACAGAAACAACAACAGTCACCATCAACAGGAGAGATTCGACAGAGATTACTTCATTCCTTCACTTATCTAGGTAGCACTGTTTCAACCACAGAAAATCGGGACGGATGAAGATGCCGCGACCAGCTAAACCAGAATCCGAAAGGCAGAATACGCCTTCGTCAACCTAAAACCAGTTTGAAAATCTTTTGCACTCCACAGCATTAAGGGCAAGATTCAGATTTTCAACACAGTTGTGAATTCGGCCAGTTCTTGTGTATGCATCAGAAAAATGACCAGCGTCTCACGAGCAGGATTTCCAACAAGCCACAGAAGACTTTCATCAACAGCTGTCGGGTGAGCTGGCATTATGCTGAAGATAAAATGGCCAATGAGTAAGAATTAGCAACAAGAAACTCTGGGAGTAAAGTAACTAGTAGCCGATTGGTCAACGAATATGGAGCAGAGGATGGAGATGGATCAGGCAAATGTTGAAGAGGCCGTCAAATGACATCATGCGTAATGCATGACATCGCTCGCGTGGAATTGCAATCGGAAGCGACAAGTGGGTCGTTGGTGCGAGTGTTTATATGGAGGGGATCACGCGAGGAGGAAGCCATAAGAGATTATGGGCAGTCTTGGACCCATGTGAAGAGGACAGCATCAGAGAGAACAAATTGTAGATGTGCTGTTGAAGTTCTGTTACGCTCAGTACGCAAAGGAATAATAATATGCATAAGAAATAGAATACAATACCCGTTCAATGTCGACCATCAGTGGTGTGAGTTAACATTACAATAACCAGTAATCACATAATAATAACGGACAAGTCGAACTCATGCAGACTGGTGGGCTGACATGAAATCTGTCTGTTATGTTAAAATGATAATAGGTTTGTTCCAAAACAGTACTTGCGATACAGAATGGAATTCTCAGCATTTTACTACAGTATTGCATCCAGTTGGTAAATTAACAATAAAATAAAATTGTACATAGATTAAGGGCAATCTCAGTTAGTTTTGACAACAACATATTAGCGTGTTGGTAGCAAAGCCAAAATTAAACTATGTTTGAAGGATGCTATAAAAGTAGGTTCTAGCATGTTTATTGGCGTAAGCAGAAGGAATAAACAAAGCTGCACATAACAGTAAAAGAGAGGGAGAAAGGGAAAAGCAGGAAAGAAACTATATATGATATGAGTTGGAAAGACGAGATCCATTTGTTCTACTGACTATTTAATAAGTTATAGGTATCACGCCTAATGCTTTCTTTATCGCACAGAACACGAGTTAAGTAGGGTATGGTTGAGTTTTTGTACTTCCTAGTGCGAGCATATGGTTTTCTATATAGGCTTCTGGTTTTGCATGAAGAGATACAAGGGGAGAGTTGTGAATGAAGTGGGTGGTGTGAGTTGGACAGGTAAATGTATTTAGCCCATTTTTCACATGAGTCCAAGTGGCTGTCGACCAGAAAATTAACAAGCTGGTTAAGTGGCAAGTTGCTTACCCTGCTGACAATTTTAGCATCCTTCGTAATTAAGTATAGTCTTTCTTCAGTGGCCCTGAAAAAACTAAGGGGGAACAATAGAGAATAACAGGCAGGATACAAGAGTTAACGAATTGTTTGAGTAAGGGTTGGTTTATACCAGAATGTCTTAACTTCTTGATGTAGAAGGTAAGACGGAATATTTTCTTAGAAATCATCAAGATATGAGACGACCAGGAAAGATCAGCAGATAGAATGACGCCAAGATATTTAATTTCCGACTTGGTCTCGAATTCAGTGCCATCTATGTTGCACACCTCGTGAGTGCTAACCAGTTTGTTTAGGTCAGATTTATGCCTAAAGTTGAAATTGACTCTTTGATATTTAGAGGGATTTAAGGTGAGACCGTTTTCCTTGGACCACTGGAAGATTTCTGACAAAAGCCATCTAGTTTGGAGCAGTCACTTTGACATTTGACAGGTGAAGATACAGTCAGATAGTCAGCATATTTAACAAAGTTAATGTCATTTGAAGATGGTAAGTCATGTAGAAAGAAAGAAAAGAGAAGTGAGAGTGTACAGCGCCTTGGGGGACACCAGCTTCAGTGAGCACAGCAGAGGAGGATTTGCCTTTGTATACGGTACACTGCATTCTGTTAGAGAAGTAGGAATGCAACCAGTTAGTGACCCATGACTCAGTTTGTGTCATGGAGAGCTTATTTGGCAAGAGACATCTAGGTACAGAGTCGAAAGCAGAAATGAAGTCGAGAAACGTGGAGCGGACATATTTGCCACCTTTATTTAGTGATGAGACGATACTGTTGTGTAAGACGGCTACAGCTTTAAAAGTGCTCCTACTCTGTCTACATCGAAAGTGTTTGGGGTCTTCAAAACTTTTAAGGGAGGGTTCGAGTTTAAGAAATACTAGTTTTTCCATAAGCTGTAGAAACGGGGAAGTGATGGCAATCGGTCTGAACTTAACGTTCTTGCTATTGCCAGGTTTAGGGACTGGGACTATTTTAATGTCTTTCCATGGAACAGGTACAACGTTTTTGGAAAAAGAAGCATTTAGGATGTTAGTTAGAGGAGAACATAAGGCATCTGCGCATTGTTTGTAATGCAGGTATACCATTACGGAAATATACTCGAAAGATATTGGTCTCTAACGCTGCGCCTTTACTTTTTCGCTTCAGTTATTTGATGTGGTCTACTAAGAGGTGTCTACCGGTTAGCAGATGTCAAGTCTCTGAAGAGAGAAATTCACTTCCTCTAAACATTTCTCTGGAAATCTGCAAGGATTGATAAGTGATATCAGTAAAGCCTGCATATCAGAAGCAAGTTAGGAGGCCAAAGTATATCTGAAGTACATAAGGAAAAGTAGAGGGTTGGTTGAGTTGTTGTTGATTTTACCCAATAAAACTGAAACTGTTGTACGCCATGTGAGCTTCAAAAATTGTAAGTCGCCCTGAGTATCAATAGCTAAATGCCTGCAGCAATGTACTCTGGAAAGGACTTCAAGGTGGATATGTTTATCACAGAATTCATTGAGACTATCCAACGGCTGCCGTTGGCTTGAGATTTTGATTTATCATCTCTTTTCTCCCTACAAACACTGAGCACCATCCCAGCCATTTTCATCCATTATTTCTGTGTTGCTTCACCACCTCCATGTAACGAAACAACCTATATTCCTCTAACTTCACACTATTTTCTCTTGAAGTGTCATTTGTTTGCTTAAATTGTATTCACCTAAATTTACTCTTGGATGGCGTGTGTTCGGCTGCTTTTGTGCATGGCAGAGTAAAACATAATATTTAGAAATACTGGCATTTTCACGTGTACAATCACAGCCAGAACGAATGTATTCGTTGTGAAGGTAAGATAAGTGGAAAAATAGTATTGTTATTTGAGCAGTCACATTCGAACAAAGAATCTACAACAGTCGCTTAACTGATTCTACCAGAACTCTGAGACCTCTCTTAGCTTATTTTTATAAGAACTCTGCTTGCTAGAGACTTTTCTTTCATACGATTACTCAACATTTGACCATTGATGGAAAATGGAGTTTAGGTTTACCGTGGTCTTCTACCGCGCAGTTTCAAATCTTTTGTCCCTCAGCTGAACAAATGGCTATGAAGCGTATAACTAAAGTAAGCTAGTGGCTTGTTTCTTTTCCAACGCTTTTATCTTTACAAGGAGTTACAAGACCTTAATCGTGATCCCCCAGCCCAGTGTTCAGCCGGACCAGCTAATGATGATTGTAAGTTTGTGTTCCTCGCAACCTTTATTAACTCCCCATAGTATTTGACTGGCAAGCTACTATCATGGGACCAGTACGTCTACCTTTATATTTATCATGTATCCCTAGGCTGAAAGTCCATATGAAGGTGGTGTTTTCTTTCTGAAAATAATATTCCCCACAGATTATCCCTTCAAACCCCCTAAAGTAAGGAAAGTTTTGTTTTTTGCTAATCATATTAAAGGTCAGTTTCACTACCAAAATCTATCATCCGAATATAAACTCTAATGGCAGTATCTGTTTGGATATCCTCCGAGGCCAATGGTCTCCTGCTCTTACAATATCGAAAGGTATGGTTGCAATACAAGTCAATCTTTATTGATATAGTTCTGTTATCAATCTGCTCATTATTGACAGACCCTAATCCAGATGATCCACTGGTTCCAGAAATCGCACGGCAATACAAATCAGATCGTAAGAAGTATGATGCAGTCGCCAAAGAGTGGACACAGAAATATGCTATGTGACACCAATACAGTCACTTTTCACAGAACATTGCGATAAACGTATTTTCTTCCCCTTGTACTCATTGATGACGTATGTGTTACTTTCAATATCGGTCAATTTGTTGCAGTCGCGAGTAACCTTATTTTCTGATTCGGTTTCCCCAGTAATGCGTTTGTGAATGCTTTGAAGGTGTTGAAAGTCAACTTCCTTGCATTATGTTTAGTCACAGACGTTGGTACGGGAGATCCATTTCGATGTTTTATTTGTTTTCATTTATTGTATCGATGCAGCCCATTGAAATTCATTTCTTGAGCACTTGGTGCTCGTGATACTCATCCAATCTCTCCAGAATCTAGTTGTCTATTTGTATTTAACCAAAGCAATTAAACTCGTGTTTATTCTGAGGGTCACTTTAAACAGAAACCTACTTTTGTGTTGGGAACCTTGTTACACATGAGAAGTAATAAGTGGTAATTTACTGTAATCCTTTATCGCAATGGAAGCGTGAGCTTTATGTCTTTCTCTTTAAAATTGTTGTAGATATAACTTTCATAAAACTGACAGGATTGTTTAAAGTCCTGTGCTTAAGCTGTTGTCTTGAAATAGGTTATCGACCTACTTGAAATACATTACGAAGTTAGATGGTACAGTGCATCAGCTCAAGTTACGGTTTGCATTAAAATATACAGAAGTGTTTGCACACCATAAGTGAAGGAAAAGACCATGCGAATGTGTCGAGCTTAGTTAATTTATTTAAAATTAAGTCGGTCTAACAGCATGAAAAGCTGTTCTTTTCCGGCCATCGGGACTGTCGTGTGACTGGAATGTTTCTATAATTTATTCAGGACAGAAGTAGTTGGAGCAAACAATTGCTCTCAATAAATTCTCCATCCTCTACAAACATAAGTCGATTAATTTAAGCACACAGTAGCCATTAAAGGCAAATTAGAATCGTACCAGAAGTGTATTGTGGAACAAGCAGATTGTTTACACCACTGATTATACACCCTCGTGACCTGTGCTATATATATAAATACTAACTATTCCTATTCAAAACGGACTTGTTCTGCCCCACCTTATACTTGTTCCACAGTACCATTATTATTGTATATCGTCATCAAAATCTGATTTGGTGAGGTTGTGGACGGACTGTGGAAACAGGCACCATTTCCCATAGCTGTCGGCATATCTATTCCTTGGGAATCCATAGTTTCTACGACGCTCAAATTATTCCAGGAAATTCGTAACACCTACGGTCTGAGCCACCTATTGTCTCCAATGGCTGGAGACAACAGGTGACATGGCTCATAGTCGTTGTCAATGGCGCAGATGTATTCAGTCTCTGTAATCTTTCATATTCCTTTCTACCATTACCCATTCTGTTTCACTCTTATACTTGTCAAACTCTATTGATTCTCTTCACTCATCTTCTTGTCTACCTCTGTGTGCTATTTGGAACGTGGCAACTGGAACTGCTGCACTTCGGTGCCAAGTTCTATGTTGAATCCAGACAGAGACGGTCTGGAAACCTATAATCCATAGTTTTGTTGGCCATAACCAGCTCCATGTGCTGACGGACAATATGTGGGGAATACAAATAATTATTTGTTGGAGTGTTTGCCTGTCAATCTTTAGTACGCTTCTAACACCTTGCTCTCATAGTCTAAGTACAGGTGTCTACGCCTTTGCAACGAAGTACGGTTCGTAGTAAGTCGAACTTAACGGAATACCAAGGCGTTGAGACCAAAAGAAGCATGCTAGGTTTTAAATGGATAAAACGGTTATTTTCCAGTATTGGTTATGTAGGGATTTTGTTTGATTGTATGTAGGATTTCATCACGAGCTGACATCAGTTGGAGAACCACTGGGAAACCTGGGAGTACTGGACCAGTAATTAATCGAAGAAGACGTTGCGAAATGGTCGCGCTATGTCGTGAATTGGCAGAAGTTAGGGTTCAAGGAGCATTGGATTGGGTCCTAGTAGCTCAGTAGTCTATGAACTCGCCTTGCACCCAGAAGGTCCTAGGTTCGAACCCTGTTGGATGCATACTAATGAAAAGTCCCCTACTAGGACGAAAACAATTATTGTCAGCATATCATATCAACAAGCTCAGTCAGGTACGCTGTTTTTCTCGATGTAGCAGTTGCTGTTTCATGGACATTACAGTCATTCATATCCCATCAGTTTGGTATTCAACAACTTTTGAACCCAGATGGAATGGACGGGTTAGCTCTAGGTAAGCATTTCGCGCATCTTCAAAATTACTTCAGTAATCAACTGAAGGTATTCTGACTGCATTATTCTAATGCGCTAAGTAAGTCATCTCTAGCTAAAGAACCGAAGGCTCACGGTTGGTATTTATTCCTTTTGATTTTCAGCGCTGTTACATCAAAAGTGAAAACTTAGCTTGCTCGTCATTGCATTTCTAGAAACTACTGAAGCAAAAGCAAACCAGTGTAACGGCGCCTAGAGGCTAAGTGTCTAGTTTATGTATAGTCGAGTTGTTGTGGGTGGCCAGAGTATGATAGGGTAGTCTCGTTATATCCGTTAACTAGTCTGAAAAAGCAATTACTTTATAGAAGTAGTTAGCGATGACCGTCAATCTCCACTTTATGAAGTCCCGACCGAAAGCTGCCACCTTGACGTGGTGGTCGGGCTTGAACACCGCAATGATCTATTCAAGCTATACTGGCTGAGACTTATGTCTCTTGAGGTCTACCATGCCAGGCAGGTTGTTTGGATAGCGGTTAAACAAAAAGCAGCTACCCAATCCAACATCATGATAAATACAAAATTTCATGCCGGATCGGCCGTGGCCCGGATTAACAACGACCGCGCTTCCTGCTGCCGTGTCACAGGGCAGGAGTGATAAATATGCTACTGAGACACACCAAACAAAAACAGGCCGCGTGTGACCGGCCTCAAGCAGTTGTCCCCTGGGCTCTGCGGTCACGCAACCAACTTCCACGGTGTGGGCAGCCGGGAAGTAACAATCGCCCTCACAATCCGAAATGCACACGAAACCTCTCTATTACTCACTCATCTTTGTTTTCATCTCTATCATCTTGCCTTCCTTCCACTGATGCAACTCCTCGACTTGATAGCTCTCCACTCTGCGTCCACTAAAAACGATGGAAGCCAAAAAACCACCACCGACAGCCTCTTAAAGCCGCGCCACCAATTTCATATAGGAGCTCTTAATGTTAGGACACTTTGCCAAATAGGACAACAAGCATCACTAGCCAAGACCCTGGCATCACGAGCCATTGATGTATGCTGTGTTTCAGAAACACGCATACAAGACCCAAGTGTGGTTATTCACCTAACCCCACCTGGCCAACAGGTTGAATCTGCAAAATTCACCTTGAGGGTGTCAGGAGATGCCACAGCTAGTTCACGAGGATTAGCTGGCGTAGGGATAGCTTTGAGTACTAGGGCAGAAAAGACATTGCTTGACTGGATCCCGGTAGATAGCCGAATGTGTGCTGTCCGCCTGAACGGATCAGTAAGAAGGAGAAGGACTGCACTACTCGCCGATGCCTTTTCGTAATCTCCGCCTACGCCCCCACTGACTGCAGTTCAGATGAAACGAAGGATGAGTTCTACCAAAAGCTGTCTAGTTTGGTGCGAAAGGCTAAACGCTCAGACATAGTCGTTCTAGCTGGTGACTTTAACGCTCAAGTAGGGAAATTGTGTCAATCTGAGAAGGATGTCGGTGGCACCTATGGAGTTCCGTGCCAGCGAACCGACAACGGTGACCGTCTCCTACAGTTCTGCTCTGATAATCATTTGTTTCTTGTAAGCACTAACTTCAAACACAAGGAGAGACACTGTTTGACTTGGAGACCCCCTTCATCAAACCAACGCTGGACACAAATAGACCACATAGCAATAAGCTATCGTTGGCGTGGGTCGGTAGGAGATTGTCGCTCCTTCTGGAACACGTGTGTAGATACTGGTCCGCGCTCGGGTGTGCTTACGACTGAACGGACGTAGGAAACAGCTGGCGGTAAAACCATCACGTCCCCAGCTCGATCAGGAAACTAAATCCGTATTTGAGGAAGAACTAGCTAAACACATATCTGTGTTCGACAGCTGTGCTCACCCTGAAGAAGCTTGGAAAAATATCCAGGCAGCCATAGATACAGCTGTGAATAAGGTAAACCCAAAGGTGAGTAAAAACCACTGGATCTCCACCGCCTCATCCGAACTGATAGATGCTAGAAGACTTATTCCGGCGAGCTCCGAATTCAATGAGGAGCGAAAGCTGCACAAGAGGAAACTTACGAAAAGTCTCCGCAAGGACCGTGAACAGTGGTGGGCGACAAAAGCCAAAGAGATGGAGAAAGCTTCGAGGATAGGCAACACCAGGCAACTCTTTGGACTCATCAGGGAAACGGGTGGGAGAAGACAAATCATTAGTGAGACAATCTCGGAAAAAAATGGCACTATAATTAGCTCCCAGGATAGACGACTGGATCGTTGGAAAGAGCATTATGAGGAGCAGTTTAATTTGCCCACAGCCACGCTCAACCTTCCGAGCATCCAACACCTCCCTGAATGGGATATAGACACAGGTCCTCCGTCACTAACTGAGGTTACTAAAGCTGTCACCAATCTGAAACTAGGCAAAGCAGCGGGACCTGATGGAATGACTCCAGAGGTATTTAAGTACGGTGGAGACAGCTTACTGTCTGGATTAACTGAGGTACTAGGCAGCGTCTGGGAATCAGAAGAAGTCCCATCGGGTTGGTGTAAGTCACTGATTATCCCCATATACAAGAAGGGAGACAAGTCTTCCTGTGATAATCACAGAGGGATTAGCTTGACTAATATAGTATCTAAAGTCTTAGGCTCAATAATCATGCGTAGACTGAGTGGTGCTCGGGAGGCACAAACACGAGAGAGCCAGGCAGGCTTTAGACCAGGAAGAGGGTGTATTGATCATATCTTCACCCTCCGACAGATTCTAGAACATAGGCATTCCTACCGGCGTCCAACAGTCATTATATTTCTTGA